GAGGCATTGGGTGAAGAACCGCGCGAGGTGCTTCCACAGCGTAGGTCCGCCTGCCTTCAGCATTTCTGCTCTTACGCCGTCCGGTCCCGGAGCTTTGCCTGCTTTCATCGTACGGAGCGCTGATTCTACCTCATCGGCGGTGACTGGTGGCACTTCTGCGGCTGGGTTTATGTCGGCTCTCCGTTGCCTCGGCACCTCGACTTTGCTCTCAAAGAGCTTCGTGTAGAAGCTCCTGCAGGTTTCTTCGACGGCGTCGCGCTCTGTCTGGAGATGGCCGCTTTCATCTACGAGGGCGCCTGTGATAAGCTGGGACTGCGTCATGTCTCGTCTGCACTTCTTCAGGCTCTTGCGCTTTTCGGCCGTTTTGACCAGGCGGCAGTTCTGTAGCTCTCGTAGTCCTCGGCGACTTTTGTTCGGCAGAGCTTCGATAGGCTCTTCGCTTCTTCAGAGTCTCCTCGGGACTTTGCCTGCTGTAGCTGCTTCAGGAGGTCTTCCGTCTCAGGAGTTTTCCACGTGTGACGTGTACTCTCCTTCCTGATAACAGCACCCGTAGCGCACTGCGTCAGAGTCGCTTGGAGCCGCTTGTACTGCTCCATCATTCTGCCTCCGCCTTGCCCGCTCCAGTCTGCCTCTGCGACCAGCTTCTGGAACTTGGCCTCATCTAATTCCGTCGGACGGCATGGCCTCCTGAGAAGCGCTTTTCTTCTAAGCTTCTTCATGTCTACGCGTATTGTTGCTCGGACTAGACGGTGGTCGCTTCGGGCATTGAACTGGTTTAGCACTTCCAGGTTTTGGATGCTTTTCCGGTCGCCGTACAAGACGTAGTCGAGCTCGCTTTTCGTCTTCAGGTCAGACAACTGCCATGTCCATCGCTTCAGGCAGGGCTTTTCGAACAGCGTGTTTGCGACGTACAGTTTCTGGGCCTCCGCAAAAGCGGCTAGGCGGGTGCCTGCGTCGTTGCGTTGTTCTGCACTTTGTTGTCCTACGTACAGCTCGTCTGGTTCGTTCTGTCCGATTCTTGCGTTGAAGTCTCCCATGACGACTACCGGTCCTCGCTGGGCTGCCAGGTGCTCTTCGACTTCGGCGTAGAAGGACTCGACTTCTAGGTCTTCGTAGCCGCTATGCGGGGCGTAGCACTGGATGACCGTCAGTAGATACCGTCTTCCGAGCTTGATCTTCAACACTCCGACGCGTGATGAACTGACGTCGACGGAGTGGATTCGCGAGGAAAGCTTGGCGTTCACGATGAAGCCTATGCCGCCTTTGAGGCCGTCCGCTGCTCCTATGTGCAGTTCGCTGCCTTTGAGCTCACCGTGTTTCCACTTTGAGTGGCGCTCTTCTTTCGCGTGTGTCTCGCTGAGGCCGACGATGTCGAACTTTATCCTCTCCAGGGCTTCCATGAGTTCGCAGGTCCGATGTCCGTTTGGGTTCAAGTTGTCGGTCCTCCGACTCCGCTTTGTCCGCAGTTGAACGTAGCGAAGCGGAGTTTGTTTGAGCAGCACCGATGGTCCTTCATTTTATTGTCAAGCTTTTCCACTTCCGCGGGTCGTAGTGCAGCTCGTCCACTCGCCGCAGTTGCTTCCAAGCTCTCGTTATTGGCGTTAGTAGCGGGTTGGTACTACTACGAGGCTTGCTAGGCCGGGCGTAGAGCCAGCAAGGTGATGCGACGACGACCGTCATGCCGGGAACCCGGTGCGTCGAAGTTTTCCGGACGATTTTTGCGCTTGACTTGGGTTGAACGGTTTCCGCAGGCGATTCCGGATTCGCGTGTGGCCTTGCGCTTCTTGAGCTTACCCGGCATGTTCATGGGGACCATCAGCAGACCGCTTTACGGGGCATTCCCCGACCTCAGCACCGGTGTTGGTTAGCGGGACCCTGCGTTATAGGCAACTTTACCAGTCCTACGCCGGGTTTGCTCGACGATCGTTCTGCCAGTCGGGACTAGCCGTTCACTGCGTCCTTCATTCTGTTTTCCAGCGGCACCCGCAACGACGGTGTTTGTCGCTGCTTCTTGGAGGAGATCGTCGTCGCTGCCGAATCAGGAACGTTGGCAGTGCAGGGCCACTAGGCGCTCACCTTGTGACCTTTTTCCGGGGGAGGGCTAGGTAGCTAAGACGTTACCGATACTTTGCGACAACTGTGCCAAATGTGAAAAATGTGACAAGTGTGACAACTGTGACAAGTGTGACAATGTGACAAGTGTGACAAGTGTGACAAGTGTGAC